GGTCCATGAGAGAGGAGAGGACACGAGGCAAAATGCTGCCCCCAATGTTAGAAAGACAAACAGGTGAACAGAGGGAGTTTGACTTACCTGAGCAGAGATCCAAGGGAGAAACTGTAGGGGTGGGTAAACTGTCATTGATGCACTGCTGAAGGCTCAGTGGACAACTCTGAGATAGAAAAACTCCAGAATCAGTCAAAGGAGGGCTCCCCACAATATTGTGATGTTTGCCTCCAGGACTGTGGCTGGGTTCCTGCAGTAAATATTGAAGAAAAATTCCCTTTGGCTTCCTGTAAGGAGAGAGGAAAGGGAACCATTTTGAAATATGCCTGAGCACCCTGTTCTTTTTAATAGGCATGTCCTCATGTGTCATTATTTAGCCAGAGCCTGACCTTTGGGGTATTATCAGAGCTCAGGCTTTACACCCTTCAGAGAAATTAACAAAAATGGGCCGACCTAAATGTGAAATCCAAAACTATAAAACTTCCAGAACATAACACTGGAGAAAGCCTGGAGGTGGGTATGGTGGTAACTTTTAGATGCAATAGCAAAGGCACAGTCTACAAAAGAAATAATAGATAAGTTACTTCCTTGAAATAAAAAAATAAAAAAACTTAAACTCTGTGAAAGAAAATGTCAAGAGAATGAAAAGTCAAGCCAAAGAATAGAAGTAAATATTTGCAAAAGACACATCTGATAAAAGTCTTGTTATCCAAACATACAAAGAACTCAACAGTTAATAAGAAAACATAAACCCCAATTAAAAAATTGGTGCCAAATTTTAGCAGACACCTCACCAAAGAAGGCATACAGATGGCAAATAAACATATGAAAAGATGCTCCCCACTTATACCATCAGGAAAATGAAAATCAAAACAAAAATGCTATTTGAAACAACCATAAACCCAGCTATTAGAGTGGCCAAAATTCAGAGCACTAATAACACTCAATGCTGGTACGCATGTCAAGCAACAGGAAAACTCATTGATTGCTGGTGGGAATGCAAAATGGTACAGCCACTTTGGAAGTGTATTGGTTTTATTACCAAACTGAAAACACTAAACTGATGTAAATTAAACATTATTTCCCTATATAATCCAGCAATCACACTCCTTGGTATTTGCCCAAAGGAGATGAAAACATATGCCATACAAAAACCTGCACACAAATGTTTATGGCGACTTTCTTCATAATTGCCGAAGCTTGGAAGCAACCAGATGTCCTTCAGTTGGTGAATGGATAAGTAAGCCATGTAGATCCAGACAATGAAATATTCTTCAGTGCTATAAAGAAATGAGCTATAAAGCCATGAAAAGATATAGAGGAGACTTAAATTACTAAGTGAAAGAAGCCAATTTGAAAAGGCTACATACTATATGATTACAACTAGAAAAGACAAAAGTATGGGGACAGCGAAAAGATCACAGTGATTGTCAGAAGGGGGAAAAGGCAGGGGGATGAATAGGCTGAGTACAGAGGATATTGAGGGCAGTGCAGATGTTCTGTATGATACTATAATGATGGATACATGTTTTATACATTTGGCAAAAGCCATAGAATGAATTTACAACAAGAGTGAGCCCTAATGTAAACTACTGATTATGGGTGATAACAGTATGTCAATATATGTTTAATGATTCTAACAAATGTACCACTCGAGTGGGGGATGTTGGGGAAAGCAACACATTTGAGTGTAGGGAGTATATGGGAGGTCCTCTTAATTTTTCTGTGATCTGATTATTGCTATAAAATAATAAAGTCTTAATAAAGAAGATAATTAAGCCAAGTGACAGAAAATATGTAACTATGTTAAATTTTCAAAGAACAGGGATATATATGTGTATGTCATATACATTACATAGTGTTTAATCATACATATTATATTTTACATATGCAATTTCCAGTGCATCTTAGAGGAATTCAGGATAACCTAAATATCATAAATTATGAATAGCGGGTATTAATGTGCTATTGCTGCCTAACAGATGACCACAAACTCAGTGGCTTAAAGCAGCACCTGTTTACTAGCTTTTGGTTCTGTAGGTCTGGCATGGCATGGCTGGTTCTCTTCTCTGGTGATCACAGGGCTGGGGCTCTTTGCCACAGCACTGAGGTGTCAGCCAGGCTGAGTTTCTCATGTGAGGCTGGGAGCAGGATTCCACCTGAGGTCTTCCTTTTTGGGCTGTCAGCTGGAGCATCCAGCTCATAGATCTCACCTGCGCTTTTGCCAGGTGCCCTGTTCTATCTTCAAAGCCAGCAAAGAGTTCTCATGGCTCAAATCCCACTGGTGATTAAAATATGTCTTACTTCCTCTTTGTCTGATGGCTTGTGAATTCATTCATTTATTTATTTATTTAATAAATTTTATTGATTTTTTACAGAGAGGAAGGGAGAGGGACAGAGAGTTAGAAACATTGATGAGAGAGAAACATCGATCAGCCGCCCCCTGCAAACCCCCTGCCGGGGATGTGCCCGCAACCAAGGTACATGCCCCTGACTGGAATTGAACCTGGGACCCTTCAGTCCGCAAGCCGACACTCCATCCACCGAGCCAAACTGGTTAGGGCTCATGTATTTTCAGTGCTGAATAATATTCCATTGTAGGGATGCACCACAACTTGATTTTCCATTCACCCACTAAAGAATATCTTGGTTGCTTCAAGTTTTGGCAATTATGAATAAACTGTAATACAATACTATAAACATCTGTGTGCAGGTTTTGGGATATGCGTAAGTATTCAATTTGTTTGGGAAAATGCCTAGAACTACAGTTGGTGGATCATATGAAAAGGCTACGTTTAGCTTTGTAAGAAACTGCCAAACGGTCTTCCGAAATGGCTATGTCATTTTGAGTTACCACCAGCAATGAAGTAGGAGATCCTGTTTTCCCACCCTCACCAGCATTTAGTGTTTTCAGTGTTTAGGAGTTAGCCTTTCTAATAGGGGCATAATGGTATCATTGTTATTTTTAAGTTGCAATTCCTAATAAAATACAATATTGAGTATTTTTTCATATGCTTGTTTGCCATGCTATTTAATAAAAGGCTAATATGCAAATTGAATGGTGGAAAGACTGGTCTCTATGATGTGCACTGACCACTGGGAGGGAGAAGCTCAGTGCAGGAGCTGCTGCCTGGTGGTCAGTGCACTCTCACAGAGGGAGTGCCACTCAGCCAGAAGCCCTGAGCCAGGCTCATGGCTGGTGAGCACGGGGGCAGTAGCGGGAGTCTCTCCTGCCTCCACAGCAGCACTAAGGATGTGTGACTGCCGGCTTAGGCCTAAGCTGGCAGTAAGACATCCCCTGAGGGCTCCCGGACTATGAGAGGGCACAAGCCAGGCTGAGGGAACCCCCTGAGTACAAATTTCGTGTACCGGGCCTCTAGTCTATATATAATCTTTGGTGAGATGTCTTTTCAGATCCTTTCGCTGCTTTTTAATTACATTGTTGACTTTTTAATTGAGTTTTAAGAGTTCATTGTGTATTTTGGATGTGTTCCTTATCAGCTTTGTGCTTTGTAAATATTCTATCTCAGTCTGTGCCATGACATTTCATTTTGTAAATACTGTTTGTCTTGGAACAGAAGATTTAATTTCAAATTGCTATGATGACTAATCTGGATCTGTTACATTTCCATGTAAAATCTATAAAACTGAATATCTATCAGTTTTTATATATTCACAAAGTAACCTGCTGGGATTTTGCCTGTGGTTGTACTGAATATATGGATCAAATTATAAAAAATTAACATCTTAACAATACTGAATCTTTCCATGCATGAACATTTAATATCTTTCATATATACATACACACACACACACACACACACACACACACACACACACACCCTAGGGGCTCAGTGCATGATTTCGCCTGGCCCCTCCCGCCATGGCTCCCGGTCCCGTCTGCTGGCAGCCCCACCCCCACCACTGCTGCTCCCATACACTGACAGTACTGGCCCCCGCTCGCACCCACTGATGGCACGGAGTGATTGTGACTGGCACCAGCAGCGGGTGCAAGCGGGCCAGCGCCATCAGCCATCGTGAGCTCCAGGTGGGACTGTGGCCCTGATCAAACCTCAGGAGCAGGGGAAGCTGGAGAAGTCCTGAGGGACAATCAGGGCCGGCAGTGGGTGCGAGTGGGCCGGCAGTGGGTGCAAGTGGGCTGGCAGTGGGTTGGAGTGCCAGGCAGGACTGAGGCATGCAGGAGCAAATAATTTTCTGTAACCACCAGAGGCTTGCCCCAATGACAGCGACTGGCGCCCCACCTTGGTCTGGTGCCTCCACTCACCTGCTCCACCATCCTGCCATGACCGACGCCTGCCATGTTCCACACTCTGCCACCTGCTGCCCATGCCCGCCATATTCTGTGTGTGCCCCCTGATGGTCAGCATACATCATAGCGACTGGTTGTTCAGTTTTTCGGTTGTTCCACCATTTGGTTGTACCGCCATTTTGTCTATTTGCATATTGAGGTTTTCTATAGAGAGATATAGATATATTTTCTTTCATCAGTATTTTTTTAATTTAAAAAGATTTTTTCCAATTACAGTTACATTCAACTTATTTTGTATGCATATCAGGTGGACAGCATAGTAGTCAGACAATCATATACCCTACAATGTGTTCCCCCTAATATTCCTAGTACGCATCTGGTACCGTACATAGTTATTACAATATTATTGACTATATGTCCTATGCTGTATTTTACAATTCATGACTATTCTGTAATCACAAATCTGTACTTCCCAGTTCCTTCACTATTTTCACCTAGTTCCCCAACTCCCTCCCCCTCTTGCAACCATCAGTCTGTTCTCTGTATCTATGAATCTGTTTCTGTTTTGTTTATATTGCTCTTTAGATTACACAGTTTTCTAGTTGTTTTTTTACACATAGAGAATGTGTGTATATTTTGATAGATTTTTAAAAATATTTTATTGATTTTAGAGAGGAAAAGAGAGGGAGAGAGAGATAGAATCATCAATGATGAGAGAGAATCACTGATTGACTGCCTCCAGGAATCGAACCTGGGACCCTTCAGTCCTCAGGCCAATGCTCTATCCACTGAGCCAAACCAGCTAGGGCTATTTTGATGGATTTTTAAATATGGATTTCTCTTTTGGTGTTAACATAAATGGTGTTTTATTTCTATTTGAATTATTTATTGCTAGTGTATAAAAAGCAATTAGCTTTTACATATTAAATCCTTATCCTGCAACTTTGCTATAATTCCTTATTAATTCCAGGGTTTTTATTGGTATTGTTAGTTCTCTGAGATTTTATACATAATCATGTCATCTATGAACAACTACAGTTTTAATTCCCCCTTACTAATCTGTACATAAAAACTGACAAATTTACATAATCTATGGATTAATATTTATTAATAAATACATTTTATTAATAAATAACATTCCTGATAGTAAACTCTTAGCATTTATTTTAGCAATCATGTTGCTTTATTTTATTTTTTATACACACCTCTTAAATTGGCATTTATTATTAATAAATTGATGAATTTATTATCATTTTATTCTCTTTTGGTGAATTTATTATCAATTTATTATCATTCTTACAGGACTTCAAAAAGATAGACTTCAAAGCCATTTTGTTCTTTTTCAGACTGTCAAGGGAAATTCTAATTTTATTTTACTGCATCAAAATTGACTAAATACTATTTTAACATGAGAGAAACAACATTATTTGACTATCAGTGAATTTGACATATCAATACAGCTTCATAAAATATCTTTAAGTTTTGAAGTTATACTAAATGTTTAAAAGGTGTATTTTTTGTCTAATGGATGCTTTCATTATATAATAAGAAAAAATATAACTGTGATTGTCATTTGATATGAATATAGTAAGTAATAATCCTATTAATTTAAACATCACCTATAAGAATGATGGCTTTGCTTTGGATTTGTTTCTAAATTTATTTATGGAAACCTTAAATCTCTGAGAAAAGTTTTATTATAGAAATATTTAACAACTCTTGTTAGGGTTAATCAAAGTGACTTTAGAACATCTGGAAAAAACAGTTAACTTTTCTCCTCTAGAAAAGTCACCAAATTCATTTATGAGTAATAACATCAAATGTTATTATAAAGTAATATTTGACCCTAAAACACATTAGGATGAAATATAATTTTTACTTGTGAAGTTTCCTGTGGTGGTTAGGGCAAAACTGTTAAATTTTCTACATGTATCCTCTATTTTAACAGTTACTATGAACAGTTAAAAATGTATCTTGTTAAACTACTGCTGTCCAAGAAGTTACATAGCAGGGTATTTGTAATTATATAGTTTCACAAATTCTGAAGTCTTTAAATCTTAATTTTTTATTTCATAGTTTAAAGATCAACTAAACTACTTTGACTGCCATTTCTATTTTTTTTTTTTTAATTCACAACTCAATTCTTTGGAGAATACTCTTGCCTTTATCCATATGAAAATTTTCTATCTACCTTAATAAGAATTGCAAGGAGTTCTATCAAGGGAGTTCTTTCCCCATATCTCCACCAAAGGAATTATTCATCCATTTGACTCTAATAACATTCAACTTCAGCTACTGCCTTATGTACACATTGACAAGCATATTCATCTATTGAGTAGTTTTAACATATTTCTGTCAGTTATTTATATAGAGAAGAACATCTTTTAAATACAGAATAATGTCTCACTTTCAACTATAATCAAATGAAATCCAATTTGTAAATATAAGCTACAGTCTTCCTTGGTCTAGACATCACTCCCCATAATTCCAATTGCATAAATAATTTAGTTTAAAATAGAAGATAAAAGAATGGCAAAATATAATATTTTATCATAAGATTTTACAGTAGTTTATCATTTGTCAAATTTAACAGGAGACTTTTACAAATCCACTGATATATCAAATTAATGTGTTTAACTCCTGAAAAATATTAGCATACAATTCATAATGTTAGCCAAGCCCCACATTAAAGAATTGTTTTTAAACATTTATTACTCTAGAAAGATAATACAGAGTGTTCCATACCAAAATCCACTGACACTGTGACAAATAACAACAAGACCAATCTGTTGCTAGGCAGTTGTTGAAAGTTAGGGGCTGTTTTTCTTTTTGCCGTTATAAAGAATAAACAAATTAATATTTTTAAAGAATTTATAATAATGTCTGCTATATAGCAAGCATTATATACATTTTATTTTGGCTTAAGTAAAAAATTAGTTCATATGTTAAATTCACTTTTGTTATCTTCATATTTTCCTGCTTGTTTTGAGAACATAAATGTAAATACAAAACTGCATCCAGAAATGTCTACAAAACTAATTTTATTTTTAAAGTCATCAGAAGGCATGGAATGCGGAAGTAAATAGTAAATTGCCATTTACTATTCTGATGCACCTACATTAAAGTGCTGTGAAAAGGGTAAAACTGAGACAATTAATAAACAATTCAAGTTATCAAAAGTGATACTGAGGGAGTGCGATTAGAGTGTGCTATTTTATCTATGGTGATCAGGAAAAAATATCTGATTATCTGACAATTGCATGGATATTTTTATTTTTTAAACTGAGGGTGACACATAAATTTCTGGGAAAATCATTTTCCAGATTTAGAATAGGAAACAGTAAGCATGAACACACTATGCTGGGAGAATTTTTGATGTGTTTGAACACAGCAAATAATCCAGTGTGGCTGAAACAGAATAGGGAGAGGGAAGAGTCAGTGGCAAAGATAGCTAGTAAGTATCAGGAAAGGTTTATTAAATTGAATATATAACTTAATGTATCACCCTTAGAAATTGAAATTGCCTATCTCTAAAATAGTAATTTTTCAAGGAAAAATCAATTTCTTATGCTAAAATTAATTTTCAGAGATATTATACACCCTCTACATTGTGAAATTGCAGGGTAGAATATTCAGTTCCAGAATTTTTGAAAAAATAAATAACCAGTGTTTAACTTTCTTAATATATATTGTTGAGAGAGAAAAAAGTCTACAAATAGAAATTATTTAACAAAACTGTGTGTTCTTTTAAAATTTGAAACTAAAGTAATGTTTCTGAAAGATCAGAATTGTATGATTTTATCTGGATTAATTATACTACATCATAAAAAAATTCATAGATTCTATCAGGGTTTAATCTATAGTAATAAAAGCATAATATGCTAATTAGACTGGACAGCTGAACAACCTTTTAGACATCATTCTGGACAAAGCCACGGCAGCCGGGGCCGAGGCAGAGGTGGTTAGGGGTGATCAGACAGGCAGGCGAGTGGTTAGGGGTGATCAGGCAGGCAGGCAAGTGAGCGGTTAGGAGCCAGAGTCCCGGATTGTGAGAGGGATATCCAACTGCCGGTTTTCACCTGATCATCGGTCCTAAACCTGCAGTGGGACATCTCCGAGGGGTCCTGGATTGAGAGAGGGTGAAGGCAGGGCTGAGGGACCCCCCTACCCATGCATGAATTTCATACACTGGGCCTCTAGTAGTAATTATAATCTTGATCAGCTGATTTCTATTTTATAATTGAATAATATTAAATATGACCCCCAGAGTTGAAAAGTAATTTCTGTTTGAATATTGCTACATAAAACAAAGAATAGCAATTGACATTTTGATGAAGAAATTCTCTTAGATATCAGTTTCCAAATAACAGTACAATAATTTTAATGATTACTAAATTATGTTTAGAGTATAATATTAATTATTTGAATAATTAAATTGTACTTTTACCTACAAACATCAATAAAAAAATTATATCTCTGAATATAATACCAGATCTGATTTTCTTAGTTGCTCTGACCTAAATTTAGGCAACTAAACACTTGACACTATAAGACTAAAAGATATCTTAAACACATAGCTTTGACTAATTTGCTGGATGAATTTTCAGTGATGGGATAAGGCTAGCAATTAGTATTTATTCTAAAACAACAGCTCTATATAGGTCCTAATAGCCCCATGAATTTATCAGATTGACAGATTACTATTTACATTTATGGATCACTCTGGACAGGTTACCCTTTTAATCCTGCACTTATCTCTGCTCGTAGGTATAATTTCTCAAGTATTAATAAATTCTCTAAGGTTCAAACTTCTTGACTTTATGTTCAAATTAACTTCCATACACTTCTTTAAAGAAATTTTCATCAGTCCAGCATTAAAATCCCACCCTAGTCAATTTTGGATGTCATCTAAGCATCATTTAAGAGTATAAAGAAATTAAAGAAAAGGAAAAAGAAAAAGAAAAAAAGAAAAAGAGTAGATGAAGAACCCTGTCAGGAGTTGAGCATCGATCTATGAACCAGTTAGTCATGGTTCAACTCCCGGTCAGGGCACATGCCTGGGTTGCGGGCTCAATCCACTGTAGGGGTCATGCAGGAGGCAGCCAATCAATGATTCTCTCTCATCATTGATGCTTCTGTCTCGCTCTCCCCCTCCTGTCTTCTCTGAAATAAATAAAAATATATTTTATAAATTTTTTAGAATTGCTTAGAGTAGATGAGGATTCTACTAGTATATTTATATCACTGCAAAATTGTTTCAGATTTATCGTATTGCCTAATTCTGTTCATATCGATAAGCTCAAGTATAATTTAACTCTTTTACTCTGTTCATAGAATAAGATAGAAAATTTCCTCAGTTCTGATCTTGATATTATTTAATACTTTTAATATGTTTTAGAAATTTATGTATTTAATATGCTTTAGAAATTCTTCTATAAGAGATTTAGCTTCTTGCAATTATGGGGTTTTCCTTACAATTTCCAAATAGGAAGACCATCACATTTGATATCCCAATACAGTGATATCTGGGTGGGAAAGGGCTGTAAAATGAATTGACTTGTGCATTTTCAATATAGACAGTCTAAATATAAAAACTTCATTTCCCAAATATGCCTGCAACCAAAATTCTAGATGTGGAAGAAGGCACACACATGGAACTAGAAAGCAGAAAATTAGAAAACTTGTAACAAATTGATTTATCTTACTAGCATGTTTGGAGATTTGAGTTTTATCTGGGAAGAGTCAAGCCAGCATTAAAGTGCCTGGTTCAGCCCTAACTGGTTTGGCTCAGTGGATAGAGCAT